AGATAGCAACATCAAGATTTATGGGAGATAGGCTAGCTTCAATGACTCTGTGCACATATATGGGCTCTAAAGCTCTTTTAGAGATGCTGGGAGCTGGGCAGGATGCAGAAGTGCCAGGCGAGTTCAAATCCATCTCCTTCTGCCTTCCTGCTACCTGCTATGCTGAGTGCAGGAAAAGAACCCAGAATGGGGAATAAATGTGAATGTGAATATGATTTTTTCTGTTGGCAGTAGTTTCAGAGAGTATTATAAGCCTGAGAGAGAAAAGCAAGCTTAGTAATAGTTCAGTTTGTAGGCAGTACAAACTGAGATTTTAGAACCTTTGGACCATATTTCTCATCTTGACTATCCATGTTTATTTTAAAGAGGTGAGGGTCACTTTACAGTAATAACTGACTCTTTTGAAAACAGAGTTGTCACAGGTATCATTTTTAACTTCTCTACATAAGGCAGCTGTAAATTTGAGGTATTAATGCCTTGGGGTCTTTGAGAAGCATTTTATAGATAGCATTGTGTATAGCATTATATAGATAGTAAGCACAAGTAAAGCATTTATTTTTTGCAACTTCACTCTGTTGAAATCATGGAAAGTTTGATGCCTTAAATCCATACTAACAGGTAGTTGCTAGTCTGTAAATTTAAGTTACCTTGTTATTCTGTTCTAGAGCGTGTAGAGGGTAGTTTGCTGTTCACATGATACCTAGCTATGTAAACTGTACAAGGAATGCAAGTATGCTGTAAAGCGTGATCTGTATAAAAGACCAAGTGAGACCCAGTCATACCTCAACACTGTCAGTGTGAAGCATTCTGATTATCATTTTTGGTTTGACATGCATAAATCTGCATTCTTAAGGTAGTTTGCATTTAACCTAAATTACTTTCCCCTTAACTAGGTAGAATGAAACTCATCTGTCACAGATAAGAATAATGATATTTATTAACAATGCAAATCATTCATACACATGGAAAGAACTTAAACTTGCAAAACAATTCAGGGCAGGAGATCACAGCCCTTAAGAGATTGATTTATCCTCGACTTCCACGAGCCTTTGTTATGATAATGACAGATATGTATTCCTATATAATCCATTGCCTCTGTCTGTGTCTTACCCTTTGCTTTCTTTATAAACTCTCCTTCCTTGTCACTGCATGTTCTTTTTAATTCAGATCAGGTTACGCAGCTTGCATGATACGTTTCTATTTTTTACAGAAGTGTTTTTTACATTTCCTAGCTTACATGCTTTCCATCTTTGCTGTACTTCCATGCTAGAACAGCTCCTGGATGAGCTGTCTCTAGTCTGATTTTGATGCTGACAGCTTTCTTTTGTTCCTAACACAGCCAAGGCAACTGACTTAATTAACCATCATAAGCATTGTTGTGGTAGTTTGGGATAAATGTCTTCATGTAGCCTAGAATACTAAATGTTTTATCTAAATATGTACCTTGGTTTGGGCCACTTAGATAAACATTGTGATTTGATGGCTCTGGGTTTCTAGTGGCTTTGCTGAGATTGTAAATCCTTGGTGTATCTAAAAAGTCAGGATAAATATTTATGTAAATAGACATGGGTGTGAGTGGTTAGCTCACCCATAGTGATTGTTTGCAAACCTTGACTGCTGTGATGTACATACATCACTGAATGAACCTGTATATAGACAATAGTGCCACTAAGACATAAACCAGAGCAAAATGCAGTTGTTAATTATATGTTAATTTCAGCTATAAGATTTCTAAATTAAATGAAAATTGTGAATACAGTACATTTCTCATGAGCTTAACATGAAGAGTATTTTTTCTGCAACAATAAACTACTATAGTGTATAGCTGCTTAATTATACTTTGTTTAGTACAGGCATGTCTTGCCACATCTACTCTCACTTGGGACTAGATATCTACAAAATATCATCAGCGTAATTTTGCTCAAGTGCTAGGCTCTTGTGCACTTAGCCAAAGTTAAATATTCAGCAGGATACTCTGTCTGTAGTAGTTATGAAAGATTAAATCTGTTTCTGTTTAATTTATGTGTTGAAGTGAGAATGTCTTTTGAAAATTTCAGATTTCAGATTTAGAAATTGTAGCTTTTATTATGCCTTTTAAAGGGCATACAGCATAAATGATCTACGTAGTTACATATTTAATGGAAATCTTTCTCTTTCGGTATACTTTTCCCAACATTCTAATTACAGCTCTCTGTATACCTTTGTCTTTTTCTTACTGTTTCAAAATACTTTGTTCATATTTCCTAAGAGGGAATACAGCTGGAACGCAAGGAGAATTGTGTAATGGAGTTGTGTATGTTTGCAGATCCTGCTGTATTTATAAATTTAATTTGGATTTTCCTTTCAGTCAGTGCTAAGATTTTTAATGATATTAACATCTGAGCAAGGAACTGTGCCTTTGAGGCAGTTTCTATTACAAGTTCATTTATACAACAATGTTCCAAAGGAAAGAGATTAAAGCAGCAACATAGACAGTTTTAATTTGTGTTCTTTGCAGGCATTTTTTTCTTTTTTTTGTTCTTTTTTCTTTTCCCCCCCCCCCATCTTTTTTCTAACAAAATTTACTTGCATTATTAATGAAATTCACTCTGAGCACTGCTTGGAATCTGAAGGGCAAACCCAATCAGCAAGGTTGAAATTATAATCCTTGCAAAGCCAGTATGAATGAATAGCAGATGACATTAAGCCAGTCACAGGAAATTGTACATTTATTTATTGCTTTAAATGTGATTTGATTGATTCTATCTGTTTCTTTCCCTTTGTGTTTTACAGAACACATTTATTTATGAAGATGTCTTTGTCTCATTACCATGTTAAAATGACAGAAAAAATGTGCAAAAAGTTTTGGCGATTGCTGTGAACTGAAAGCTATCATCTGGTTTACTAGCAAATTGGGGATTTACTTATAATTATGACTCTGCTGCAAATGTCACATGTTGTTTTGTATAAATATGGTACTCTTCTGAATTGCATTATTAGACTTTATTCCAGCTGCACTCCCTAAAAATTTAGAAATGTAGAAGTAAAATTATCACCAGGCCTACACTCTCTAAGAGCACGAAAAGGTCAGCATCATATCTTTAAACATATTGCCCAGGCTTCTGATTCAGTAATTTAGAAAAAAAAAAAAAGAGGTTTAGCTCTTTATTGGGATCTCTTCAGGATGTATTCCCGAGATCAAACAAAAAATAGTGGCAAAACTGTTTGAAAACTTCCTCTCCTGTTTCTCCCTCATCACTCAAACCTCCCTCGGTCACCAGCTTCTCCAATACTCCACGCAAGAGTTGGATTTTGTTTTCTAGCGTTAGTTGTTTTGTTTCACAGATCACATTTACCAAAAGTCATCTCTTCCAACAATGGCTCCTTTTGAACAAGGGAATCTAAAAACAATACTGTGGATACAGATGAGAACTTCAGAGGGTCATGGAAATGTCTATCGGAAGGGTCAATTGAAGGTCTTCTTCAGTATTTCTCTTCAAGCATTTCTACTGCCAACAGTAAACAGAAAATCAAGGCTGTTATATCTGTCTAGTTGAGTCTTGAATCTGTATAGCCTATTCAAGGTTTGCAGTAACTTTCTTCCAACAGTGCTTTAGTGCTTTTAGTGCTTTTCTTCCAACAGTGTGTGGAGCCAGGGGTTGGACTGAAAGATCTGTGTGAGTCCCCTCACATAGCTAAGGATATTGTATGATTCCATGATTCTATCATTTTCAGTGAGTCAGCTATTTACTGTTAGTATTATCTGCAAATTTCTTAAGCCCATTTTGCTGGCAAAGAAAGCTGACTTCAGAAATTTGGTAAGGATTAGAAACTGGTGAAATCCAGGTCCTGTCTCATAGTTCGTTTGGTCTAACATGACTAGAAAGAAGTGTTACTTGTAACTAAACCTAGACAGTTGCCCACTGGAGAAGAAGCAGGTACTGCAGCATTTTTTGATTCTTGAATGTTAGTCCATGACAGTTTCCTGTTGAAGGATGTAGAATTTGAAGGGCTGAAAATCCATACTTTCTGTTCAGAAACGCTAGTTAATTGTTGCAGAGTTCTCCTGACAGAGAGATGGCTACTGCAGTGAGCCCTTATTACCGTGTTCAGCTGAAAGCAAAAGAAACTAAAGAAAAAGGGAATTCTGACTAAGACAAAGGCTGTAAAATCAGTTTAAATTACCCAATATTATATGTTTTGAATCAGTAAGAAAAGAACAATCATCCAATGTTCTGTTGACTGAGCTAGCAGAAACTTGCAGTGCTGTAGATACCCTGCAGACTTAGAATGGGCCTATTCTATATATAATTGAATGATTTTATGCAGTAAACATTGCCTTGTTGCTCCTAAAGAGAGCTCCTTTCAAAAGTTCTTTAATAGATATACAGAATAACTGAAGGCAGCAATCAATGATGATAAAATTCAGTAAATGATATGACTGTAGAGTTTAATTTCATAATGCTATAATCATTGGTATGTTTTTGTGAAACCACCCAATCAAAAGCATGCAGTGAACAATTTTCTATGCCAGAGTGCAGTGTTATGCGAAATATGTGCTTGGAGTACATAAAAGTAGACAATGCTCTCTGCCAGAAAAATATACCAAGTATTTATAAAATGGGTTTTTTTGTTCTTATTTCGTGCTGTTTCAGATTTGTACCTTCTGTATGTGAAAGTGTGTTTGCATTTTGTTTACAAATAGACTTCATGTTTATACCTTGTGTGCCTTTTGTTTTCAATTTTGTGTGTGCATCTTGTTTTTAGCCATCTTAAGTATATATATAAATTTGTCTGACCACATATTATTGACACTTATCCAGTCCACAAATACATCAATTTCATATCACTTGATATGAATACAATGTGAATAACAAAAATAATATTGCAGCCTACAGGTAATTTATGCAAGGCAATTCATCCAAACAGCATCTGTGCAATTTCTTTAATTTCTGTTTTAAGTTGTTTGGCAGCTCAGCCAAAATACAACATTTCAGTAAGTTTCATCTTTTGCATTTCAGGATTATAATGATGAAATTCGTCAGGAGCAACTGAGAGAGCTGTCATATTTGAATGGTTCCGAGGATTCAGCACGTGGACGGGGTATTCGAGGAAGAGGGATCCGTGTGCCGCCTGCAGCTCCTTCAAGGTGTGGTAGCTAATCTATTATGTGAATAGTTTTAGAAAGTGTAAACAATGGCAAAATAAGCAGTTAAAAATAATAATTGTAGACATCACAGTCAGTAAATCAAACTGACTGTTTTTCTTCTGAGAATTTGTGCTATCTACATTGTTCCAGGCTCTCGAATCTGTAATTTACAGGTCATAAGGGGGGGGGGGGGGGGGGGAGTTGCAAGTAACAGACTGCAAATCAGAACAGATTATGAAGCTAGTGGAAGGATATGTCTGGGAGAAAACATTGTAATGCTGATGCAGAAGCAGAATAGTTGGTGTCATAAAATCATAGGTCAATAAAATGGCATTCTGTGCTGTAGACAGAGAAGGCTACATAGTCTGGATAGCTGCTTATTTGCCAACTCATTACTTATTTTTGGCATAGTATATGAATAATACTAGGCTATAGTCTAAATATTAAATTGTATTCTATGTGTTGTATATGTTATCATTTCTTTATGAATTTCACCGATATCATCTAAAACTTTTGGTATATGAATGTTTCCTGAATTCCTGCAAGTATTTTTTTGTGTATGTGTGTGTGTGTATTGTCAACAGATACCTCTGCATGTTCATGAAGACAGTATATAATCTTCCTGTAATCCTTATGGCTCATTTTTGAATGTGAACCCTTAAAAATTTGTTGCCTAAGGTATTTAAGTTATCAGGCTACTCAGGCTTGGCAAGTGGTGCTAAGAAAAACACTTTTAGAGGGAATGCAATACAGAGCTTCCTTGATTGTGCTCACAGAGAAGTTGCTCTTTGGTAATTGAACTGGCTGATCTTGTGCCACTTTTTCCTTCCTGCAAAGAGTTTTCCCTCTGTTCTTGACATATATATTTTTTTTAATCTGTAATATCTTACACATGCCCAAGACATTATACACTAGACATTCATGACCATCTTCTAATGGAAGTGTTCTGAGGCTCAGAAGTTAGATTTCCTTGCTACTAAGATCTGTGAAGGACTTGATGGTGATGTTCACAACATCATTGTAACCGGCAGTTTTAAATTAGTGTAAGTATAATCAGTGGAGTGCTGGCTTCCATTCTTGTTGAACACTACTGACTGGAGCAATAGGACAGAAACTATGATGTTGGATACTTTCCTTACTTAACAGTAAGAAATCGCAGAATGTTAAAAAAGGAGTAAGGGAAAAAAAAAAAAAAAGGACCTGGAATATCTAAGTTAAATAAGTTACGCTAAAAGTAATGCCTCCTATTTATTTCCATAAAGCTACTACAGTAGAAAGAATATAATAGAACTGTAGAACTGTTCGGTAGAGCAAATCCTCAGCTACAACACTATTTTTATATATAAAATTATATACTGAAAGGAAAATCATAGATTGTTTCTCTGATATATCCTCCTTCTAGTTTGGCAAATCTGGATACCAGAACCTCTTTTTAACCAAGATCAGCTGCTGCTTCTGACATACCAGTGTTTTGGATATAGCGTAAATAAGGAGCAGAATGCTAAACTAAACCTTTCTCTGCTTGTCTATATTCACTGCTCTCTCTGTAAACTGGGGAAGCCCGAATCTTACGCTATCCTTTCCTTGTGCTGAACTAAATTGAACAGGAGTGAAAGTTCTTACTCTCCTTTTATACTCCCTGCTTTGCCTTGCTCTTTTCTGCTATCCAGCATCGTCTTCTGCCAGACAAATTCTCCCATCCACCAATAAGCATGAAACTGACAGTGATGACTGCTTTTGTATTTTGGAAGCAATGGAAAAAAATCTTCATTTTTTTCTTGTTTTGGAACTATTTCAGAGTAACTCTGCAAATTGAATCACAATGCTCCAGGATTTCAGTAGTACAAGTGAAGAAGAAGGATCAGATGCAAAAAGCACTGAGTAGCTTAGAAATAATGTCTTTCCATAACAGAAGTTCTGCATGAGATACTGCCTAAAAGAGCTTGACATCATAGCTGCCAAAACCCATAGTAGCACAACACTTTAAATAGCAGTAAAAATACAAGAGCCTTTATAGTGGGGTAGCATTTGCCTGTCCTCCCTTAACGTACACCCCAGTGCATTCACTTCTTTCTGCTCCCACAGGGGCCGTGGGGGTGCGATTCCTCCGCCCCTCCCTGGACGAGGTGCCCAAGCACCCAGAGGAGCACCAGTGACTCGTGGAGCTCTCCCCGTCCCACCTGTAGCAAGAGGTGTTCCCACACCTCGAGCAAGGGGGGCCCCAGCGGTACCAGGCTACAGACCACCCCCACCACCTGCACATGAGGCATATGAAGGATATGTAAGTAATTGCATGCACCATTAACAGATGTGAGCCAAACTGCTGTGCTGAGCTACCAGCACCTCTAAGGCCGAAGAATCTAATCAAATAAGCTCTTTGTCTCTACTGCGTACCTCCTGCTGGTGAATCACAGTCTAGGTGATATAATGTGGCAGCAGAATTATGGTTCGGGTGATGTGAGTTCACAGAGCTTTTCACAGCTTAGTTTTGGATATGAGAAGATTGTGCTAGTTAGCTCTCAGAATATCGCAAAAGAGCAACTCAGGCTATAAACGTAGTCTGAAGACTGCTGTAGTTGAAAAATACTGTTTATTGTAGGTGAAGTTCTTAGGAATAACAAATAATATCCCTTCTGAGAAAATAAGATTTCTTTATTCTTCTGAATTCTTATTACATAAGTATATATGGATTTTTCACTTGTATTCATAGTTTTGTTACAGATGCCTAACAAATAGAAATACAGGTATTTTTCATTTAAATTGATACAATTATGCATATTTAGCAAGGAGTAGTAGTAGCTGTCACCTTTTCTTATGAGGTGTTACAAGTAATCATGCTGTAAACATCAAAGCTTTCAAGTCATCCTCATTAATGTTCCCTCCTGGAACTATCACCATAACAACAGATATTCAAGTAGAAGAAAAAATTCCGTCATATATAAAATCTGACTTTTCTGAGCTGTAACAAATCCAAAGGTAAGAAAGATGAACAACCCATCCACACTTTAATTCTATCTCTGGGAGAACCATTGAGAAGATAGAATTTTGTTGAGAAGATTCAGTTTTATTTAAATAGAGGCCTTCTGGAAAAGCTTTACTCAACCGTCTGTATTTGAAGAGTAGAGGTTAGATCATGGCCATTTCGAATCAAGGGCACACTTTCTGTCAATGCCAAAACCCAAAACTGAACAACAGCTGCAAAAAAAAGAGGAGGGAAATTAAGTCCCTACTATTATTTACCTCAACACAGTTTCTATTTTTAAATGAGTATAAAACCCTGCTTGAAAAAATAAAAGAAAAAAGAAAAAAATAGTATTGAAAAAAAGTATATTCCACATTTATGGATAATATAGATAGATAGATATAGTGTATCTGTTTTTTGCATAATATCTGAAATCTTCCTGTTCTGTGCAGAGTTCTTTTCCTAATCCACGACTGACAATTTCAAAACAGGGTTTTTGTAATTTAAGATTAAAATTATAAATGAAGCAAATCTTCTTTTCATCTACACTACTGGTAAATGTCCTAAGATATTAAACAGATTTTAGGAAACATTTATTAGCCATTTCCTGTTTGGCAAATATAAAGAAAGAAGAAATTGAGGCAGCTGGATTACAGAAGATCAGGAAAATATTCAGGCAATCCTACACTGCTTTTGCTCTCAGAAACACAACATATGCACACAAAAGTGATTTTAATTTATAATAGAGTACTGCAATGAAACCAAACACATTTGTGCTTTTATTTTACCTATTTAAGTAACTGTAAACATTTTTTTTGTAGAGCAAAATCATATGTTTTGGAGATCCTTCAGTCTCCTGCTCCTTTCAACATCTGTATTTCACAGCTGAGAATATACGGGCTTTCCCAGATTTGCCGTCATCCAACAGTTTGCAATGAAAATCTCTCTCTTACCAATTTGGAGAGACTAATGAACATAATCCAAATACATTCTGTTATCTTGTGAACTGAGATAATATTTAAAACTGTTGGTGTACAGGTGGAAGGAAGAGTTCAGTGTGAATTTGTTAATAATATTTTAGGGAAAAATATTTTTAATTTTGAATGTAGTAATAAACACCATTTTTCTTCCTAAATAGCAATTGAACTATTTATCTGTCTTGATGCTAAAACCAAGTGAATTTATTTGTTGACCAGCAACAAATGTCATGTGTAATTGTTGTTCTTTCACAATAAATCCCAGAGATGAAAAACTAATTTACAATGAATAATTTATCCAATTTACTCTGTCTCATTTTCTGCTTGTAGGCAACTTACGAATAACTCAAGGATATTACCATTTCTTTATATGCTTATGACTTTCATTTCTGAGAACGGTACTCCACTGCAAATTTTGCATAGGATATGCAAGCACCTTTGGTTTGATTAGCAGTGCACATGAATGCAGTGTCACTGATTTTGTGTAACTGCTTTTTTTTTTTTCTTTGCTCTAATAAAATATACTCATTTTGATGCTAAGTTCAAAGTGAATTCAAGAAATATAATAGGATGGATGCAGCAGATTTTTTTAATGTCTCAACAGTTTTTCCTGGAAAAAAAAAAAAAAATATATATATATATATATATATATATATATATATATGTATATATTCTCAGTTCTGTTAATCAGAGATTCTGTTGACTTTTCCATGTTGCAACACTTAACTGTTTAAATACTTTGGATAAGCATTTAAAAGTTTGGATCACTCCTTTGTATTTTTGTATTCTGGTATTGGCCTTTGGAGGGTCCATAAACCAAAATGACTGAAGGTTTCTAAAATAAAATGAAGTATTGTTGCTGCGATGAATGTATTCGTACTCAACATTTTGAATGTAAAGCCCAACCAAGGGGAAAATAGTTTTGAAAAATTTTCAGAAAAGAGAAGGGCTCGATAGGAATGTGTCCACTTGTGCAGCTCTCCCATAAAGGAGGAGTGACACATCTCACACCCTTTTGTTTCCTTGCTTTTGATGTAGCTTTTCTTGGATGTAGCTTGAACAGTGTCCGTGAGGAACTTCTGAAGACCACCTACAGGAAGCAGAGATACAGATATTAGAGAGAAAATGCAGAGGATAACAATGGTTGCTACTTGCCTTACATGTCTTAAAAGCAGTTTGTTATGTTTGAATTTGAATGGAGCTCTTGATGAATTAACTACGCAGTATTTGTGATCAGGGGGTTTGTCTTGAGTTTGTAACCTGGTGACTAGGAGTACTCTGCAAAGGTGACTGACCTTACTTCAGTGCAGCTGATTTGTACAATGCGCTCTTTTTAAGGAGATGTTCACTTGAGCGTAGTTAAGAGCAGAGGCTTGAATTGGTCATTATGAACTTTCCTCGAAAGAAACTATTTCTGAAGCATTGCCATACTGAAAATATCTCTGAAAAGGACTCAAAGCTTCATTAAAAATAAAGAAATAACAGCCTTCTAAACCATGGACTCTTTGTTTTCACAGGAAATCACACAGAGTGATTCCCAATTAAATGCATTATGGTTCACACTTGGAATACTTTCATACATTAAGTACACCAATTAATTTGAATTACTGCTTAATTTTACTTTCCAAATATAGTAACGCATGCCACCACTAGTTGTTGACAGCAATGACTCAGTCTGGAACATTCTAGGAATACTGATTTGCCACCAAGTTGTTGTTTTTCTCAAAGGATGCTGAAGACACAAAAGTGAATGATAGAATGGCAGCCATGCCAGCAGGTTTTAGTGAAAAAAAATATTTGTTTGGAATTTATCAAATTAAGTTTTTAAATTAGGTTCATATTCTACATTGCATTAGGCAGAGACATTTTGAGTAGAGAGAATGGTACTGGAATTGCATTTTAATTGCTTCTTTTTAACTTACATCTTATATAATTGTGATTTGAAGCATTACTTTTGTTTGTTAGAGATCTGATATCAAGCCAAATTTTATGCTGGTTCTGTATCAGTACACCAAGATAGGAGATGGTAAATAAAAATGGGGGCAGACATTGTTTCAGCCCTTCATTACGACCTTTATTGACAAGGCCAATGGAAATATTGATTTTGTGCCATTTTTTTCATTACAGTGGTTAAGATTTGTTGGTTGAACATGTATTTTTTCATATACTTGAAGTTTATAGTCAGGAAAATTAACAGTTATCATCATTACAAATTGCGGGAAGACTTCTGGAATCTTTTCTCAACAGTGGTAAGCAATTTTAAAGGTTAAGCTCTTACTGGCATATTTTGAGACAGCAAAAGAATGATAGACAAGACTGATATTCATGATTTACGCAGTAGTGTGACAGTGCATGAGCAGACCTTCTACTGGAAGGAATGTCCTACTGAGGCAATAAAGACACTGATTATTTCAGACGATATATTTTATTTTATATAAATATAAGTCAAAAGTGTGTGTACTTTCTGGTCATGCTTTGGAAGTCATTTGTCTCTGGAGCTTCAGTCTTCTTAATCTTAAAGAGCTATAGTGAAAAACAGTGAAGGTTTTCTTTGTATTTTTAAGAGCTATGGTAGGCCTTCTTAAGAGGTTTAACTTGCATTTGGGCTATTTCAAATACTTAGCTGATGTTCAAATTAAAATATGTTGTTTAAAATAATCATTCTTTGATCTCTCAGTAAGAAGATCCTTCCAGTGGAAATCTAGAAGTGGCCTACTAGTCAATCCCTTGTGCCAAATGTGAAGAATTGTAAACTAGAATAAATTTAAGACTAAAATACACACCAATTTCAAATGTTACTTACACAACAGCTAGAGTACGGTTCAAAGGAAATCAGAGTAGCTTGCAGTTCATGATAACATTAATATTTGTAGTAATATAAATTAATTTTGCTATGCATTTATGAACTGCTTCACCCAACTGAATCACAAAATTAACACATCATACTTCTAACAAACAAGATAAAATATCGTATTTCTGTACAATTTGTATTGTATCAAATAGGCAAGATTTTCTACAATATCCTGCACAGAGAGTTCATCTTAATATGAATACCTAGATAAGGCTCTTGTGTTTACAAATAAATATATAATTTGTTTATAAGAAATGCACCAGCTTATCAAGACACTGAGAAGCTGGCGAAGCTTCTAGGTGTGGGACAGCCAGATAAAGGGCAATTTTAGATAAAAATATTCTTTTGCCTCTCACTTTATTGATCAAACCAGCCAAACACAGCTTTTGGTAATCTTCTGGAATGAATGAAGAGCTGCACTCAAACAAAGTCACTGAAAAAGAGCAACACAATAAGATAGATTGTGCTTTTAATGTCATGCTGTTCTTCTT